CGTTCGATTATTGTTTTCTAGTGTGCATTTCGAGGCTGGGATCGTCGTGTAATTTGAAAATTAAGCATGCATTCGTTACATATAGCTTTTCATATCGGTTAGTCGGAAAGGTTAATTAGCTGATGGGAATACCGATGGCTTTGGAGCGGGAGGCTCATAGCAAAAAGTAGGCAAAATCGAGCAAGTGAATTAATCAAATAATTGAATCAATTTGTTTCGCGTATTTAGGCTTATTCATATCTCCTATCATTTATCTTTAACAACCTATAATAATTCTCAAAAAGGTAGGCAAGGTTTAAGAGTAGATTATTTTGTGAGATTTTGTTTTCTTTCATTCCCCTTGGCCCCCCTAAATTTTAATTTGTGATTTCTGGATTTAATGAAATAATCTGGAGAAATGATGTCAAGATGTTATATCTGAAATGGTATAGGTTACCCAGTTTGAAAAGTTGACTCAAAACTAAGAGTTACTATTTTTTGTTTGTTTTTTTTTTCTCACCCTTGTTTCCGTTTTAGGTTGTTGGTGTTTGCGGATGTGAACATGGAGATCGAGAAAAATCCTGAGAGAGGCATGTCTTACCTGCAGCAATTTTCCTGCGGAGTGGGGCATGTGATTAACGATGTCACTCGCCGCTTGTTGCAGTCATTCCGAATGATTTTTCTCATGAGAGTCGTTGGCATCTCTGCAACCTATGCCGGCCTATTTACTCTCTACGGTTTCTTTGCTGGTGCATTATTATTTGCTCCAATGGCAGGTTTTTTATGTGATAAGGTTAAGATTCCGGTTCTGTCACGCAGGCTTGGAAAGAAAAAATCGTGGCATTTGTTTGGAACTATTGCAGCTACAATCGGTGTTCCGCTACTTTTCAGCCAATGTTTAGTTTGTGGCAGTGGAACCAGCGAGAGGGTGGTGTTGTTGTATTACTTTTCCATCGCCACCGTAATCTCATTTTCCATCAACTTCGTTGACATATCGCACCTGTCGATTATTTTGGTTCTGGCAAAGGATCAAAGTGAGGCCGCCAAACTTACTGCTTTGAGGTTCGTGAAACTCTTTCGATCGCTACACTTATATACTCGTATCCATGTTGGGACTTGTTGATTATACTCGAACTGAAAGTCTCAATAAGCCTAAAAGTCAGATTAGGTCAAAACGGGGGTGTTCCACGGACTGTGACTGGGGACTGAGACAAGAAACCAGGCCATACATTCGTGTACTTTTGTGACGTAGCATAAGGTATAATGTCAAGGTATTTGCATCATTACGATTATTTTTTTACAACTTGGCTGTGAGCCAAATAAATCAGGTGAGTTGCACAGCCCTCGTCACGATTGTACATAGTACTTAAAATGGTGTGGGTAAAACAATGATAGTAATAATGATAATAGTATTAATAAGGATTAAAAATGATAGTAATCATAATAACAAATATAAATATAGTGATAATGGTTATATGAATCATGCATGACTTCCCGGTTTCGTCGGTATGTCTGTATTCGGGTCTAAAGTTTTCCCAAGATCTTACTTCGGACAGGTCTTGTGTAGTTTTATCTTAGTCGAAGTTCATTTCCTTTCCGAAACAGTTACACTTAATAACTTACAAATAAATTCTCAGGCCGTTCTTGTCTCTACAAAGTGTTAACATTTTTCAAAGCTCACTCGCAGTTGACTTCTTATCAACAGAACGGGATTCATGTACTTAACTGGCATCGTTTCCTACCTTGTGGCATGGCTAATTCTTGGA